GTGTGTGTGTGTGTGTGTGTGTGTGTGTGTGTGTGTTAAAGCCAGTGAAGTCAGATTAGCTGCTTCTGAAGAGATTAAAGCCCCAAACACAGAGGGGCTGTTAAAACCTGCCTACAGGCTCTAATCCGGGCTAATGGACGCACCCCCCAATCTCCACACACACTCGAAAAAGGAAGGAGGAAAAGATGGGAGGGGGGTGTTAAGGGCATTCCTTAATTTCTAAACACAAAGACCTCATTTGTTGAGGGTAAAATGGAAAAAAGGCGATGTGGAAGAACGAAAGGTCAAAAGAGAGGAAAGATGTTTCGAGGGGGAGGGAGCGGGGGCGTGAGAGCGAGATGGATGAAGATGGATGAGAAATGCCACAAAGAGAATCACAGACGACGCTCGGAGCAAAGACGGACAGAGGAACTGAGAAAGAGCTAAATTCAGACTAATCTTATTTTCTGCACCCAGACCTCCATCTGACCTGCGGACCTGCGGCTGAAACCTTTTAGTCCAAACTGCTCATTCTTTGATCCACTTGATAGACCTGCTGGGACAAATTCAGGTTGTCCTCCCAGTCTGCATGCTAACGTAGGGATGTAGACACCGAGGCTTGCCCGAGGGCCCAGAATTACTCTCAGTAACAACTTCAGTCAGAGCGCTTTTAAACAGGTTTAAACAGTCTCCGCTAAACAACCGCATCGTTCCTCTGACATGTTCTGCATGCAGAGCTGCTAAATGCTGCTCGGGACGTCAGAAAACGATTAATGGAGAATATTTATGTGAAAATATTTATTTATAAAAAGTCACAAAAAGTTGAGGAGAAACTGCCACAGAGTTTACGTTGATATTATTTTCAGAAACGCTGCGTAAAGTTGAATTTTTTGATGTGTGAAGAGTCTTTACCCATGTCTGTAAAAGTGATGATATCCTTTTTACCTCAAACACTCCAAAGATCCCGCGTCTGGATCAACGCTTCGGTAGATGTTTGCTCCCAGCCTGGAAACTGTGACAGATGTTTACAGATGGGCCACATTGTTGGACAGCACCGAGCGCCCAGCACTCGCACACTCTGTAACTGCTGTCAGCTTCATATCATTTCTTATCAGCTGGCTCTCTGCAACGTACGGGTTGGTGTCATTATAGAAAACTATATTAAAGAATTTAAAGTGTCATAATGTTTGGATGATACAAAAGCAAAAACACAGAAATATATCGATGAAGAAGTGATTTAATCACCACGTCACCAGCGGCGCACACAGGGTTAGCTGGTTTCATTTTTCTGTAAAAAATCAAATCAATGTTCTGCAGATATCGTTCACTTAGTTTCATAAATGTTGTCGACATTAAGACAAGAGGACAGTGAGTGTCAGTGTAATTAAAAAGAGCTGCTCCTAATTTCAACAATATATATGTACTTAATTTTTATTTTATACATTTTTAAATTTAATTTAATGTATTTCATTGAGGGTAAAAACAAAAATCTCAGAAAGGCTTTCAGAAGAAAAGACGGGGAGGTTATGGTCTGATTGTGAAATAGAGAAACTTCATCATCTGCACAACTTAATATCATTAAAAATTCAGCGACCCGTCTGCAGTGAGGCGCTGCACACAGACACGAGTCTGTTTAAGGGAATTCCTGTCAGAATCACTTTAATAAGTTCAAACTCATTCACGAGAACGAAAAGCAGACGCAGAGCTGGAACTGAGCTCAGTCTGAAATGCGTCAGTGCTGCTGCTTCCTCTCCACTAAACATGACAGAAGACGCTCGAACTGAGTCTGAGGCAGGAAACAGTCGACTTTCAAAGCACAGAAACGGATCTTTTAAAGAAGACGTGCTGCAAAACAGTGGGAAGCTACTTTTTCATGTTACTGGCAGCAAAAACAAAAGATGGATACTTTTGTTCAAAGAACAGTAAAGGTTAAAAACATCATTTGTTAATTATTGCAGTCATGTCTTGAGAACAGGGCTGTGCAGAGCGCTCCTTTCATGATGCATATTTTTTTCATGTGGCTGTCTGGAGGTAGTCTACTGTAAGTACAAAAGCCTGAATAAAAAATGCAGGCAGATGGTTTCAGTCAGTTTGACTGCTGCCAAAGATCTGGGGAGGGGAGAAAGAGAAAAGGGCTAAAAATCCTCCTACGCCACTCAGCCCTAAATATCCCTCCTCCTCCTCCTCCTCTCATCCCAGTCCAGGCTCCCTCTCACCTTCCACATCCTCTCATTTCCTCTGCTCTTTTTGGATTCAGGCTCTTCTGGGCTAAATCCTTCACCTCCCGTTTCACTCAAACTCTGCACCTTATCAACTTCCCCTCCTTCAGCTCTCCTTCCACCTCCTCTCTCTTATTCCTGCTCTCAGGTTCTGGCCTAATTTTAAGTGAGAAAACTCCACAATGCAGGCAAAGAATGACAAAGAGGCCTAAATGATGTTGCCATGAGGAAAAGGAGGAATTCCAGAGTAAACAGAAGCAAAGGACAAACACAGCTTTCTCTTCCTGCATTTCATCCCCCAATTCAGAGAGAAGTTGAGCTACAGGAAACACTTTCTTTTACACGTTTCTTGGTCATAAATGCTGATAAACTGAATATGTTCTTGGTTTTGGACCGCTAACTGGACAAACCAAAGACCCTGTTAACCTGGAAACAGCACCATTCAGCACCAGGCCACGGGCGGACAGCAGCCTGGAAGCTGGCATGGACACAAGATGGGAATTGCAGTTATGTTGTTTGGAGATATGAAGATCAGACTAAATCATTCCTGGCAGAGACTTTTAGCATGAAAGGAAGCGTGCTACAGAGCAGCAGTGAATAATTTAACACGATAATGTGGTATAGTGCAGCATTTCATTCAATATTCATAAAAACACACGGCCGCAGATGATTTATCAGATATTAAAAAGCTGGATCAGGTCAGACACTCCCTACAGATGGATTTACCTCCGCACAAACATCACGAGTGAACATTTACTGACCCGAGCATGTTTGAGTCAAAAGGTGAAATCACAGACAGGAGGAAGTGCGCACCAACACCCACACATGTATGTACAGTGACACACAAACACTTGTCTAGTATCTCAGCACAGTCGCTCACACACTACCTGCCTTCCTATTATGTAAGACACCGTTAGAGCCTCCAGCCCTGATCTCCAACCCACTGACACACAGACACACACATTCATGGATGGAAACCCAGACACCAGCAGAAGCCTGGGATGCTTCAGTGTTAGTCCTACCTCTGCAGGTGTCTCCTCTTGATGTGTCTCCTCCTCTCAGGCTCCTCTCCGTGGCTCTTCTTCTAGCTCTGTATTGTTTCTCGGTCCAGTCCACTGACTCGTGCCTTTTCCTCCTGTCGTTTTTTGCACTGATGCTGCAGTGGTACAGAAAACACACCCTTCTGAGCTCTGCCTCTTCTCCCTCCCTCCTTCCCTCTCTGCTGCTCTCGGATTGGCTGCTTCACAGAGATGACATCAGCCTTTTTATCGTAGTCTCTCTCTCTCCCTCTCTCTCTCTCCGTATACCTCCTGCCCCTCCCTTCCTCTTTACCTCAAAGCCGCCCCCATCCCCTATTTTTACCTCTCCATACTCTCTGTCTTTTATATTTATATTTATATTCCTTATATCCATTAATGCTGCTAATGGCTGAATCACAGAAGCACAAGCTCATTATAAAAGCTTCCTATAGTTCAATAAGAGATGTTTGTTTGCCAGTACACTGTTCCATTAGAGAGGGAAGCCTTACAGTTTGGGTAAATATTTTAGATTTTTTTTAAATTATTAAAAATTATTTTTGTTTTATGATATTTTAGACCAGATCGATCAAAGCCCCTGAACCCTGAAATGGAAAAATTGAAGATAATGGATGGATCCATGAAATTAGAGTTATTATATTCTTCTTCTTCCCTTTCTTTTTTTGGAGCACTATTCAGAATTGCAGGACAGAAGAGAGAGAATATGACCCTTTAAGTTCAGCTACACTAATGAATAGAAACTGAACTGAACTGATTAATTAGTAATTTGCATCTTCAGGGTCCTGAAAGTGAGTTTCTTGCTAAAGCTTGAATACGAGCAGTGCCCTCGGTGAAATAGCAGCTGGTTCTTGCTTTGCATGAACTCAGCAGGTTTAAAGACTGAAGCATTTTTGACCTGAGCCAGTGTGACCATATGACCGTGGGTTAGTCCGGTGGCATCGTTGGGACTTATGTCACAAGCCTCTAACAAAGGTTTGTATTGTTTGCTGATAACTGTAGATAAATGTGACTGCAGACATCAAGTCAACAAATTGGTGGGTGAAATTGTGTTACGCATGTCAGTGGCGTCCTGTTAGGGCAACCAATCAAAGGCGTGCTTATCAAAACACAACAAAGTGAATCTACTGTTGTTGTTTCATTAGTTTTATTTTTTATTCTGGCTGCTGGTGGTTATTGTCTCTGGAAGCAGGATTAACTCTGCTTGACTGTGATTACACTATGCTCTGTAGTTTAAGTGATTTTATGTTATTTCTTCTGCTTAATGCAGGTTTTAAAGTTAAAACTTGTTGTTAATCTTCAGCTCTTTAAATAATTTCTCTTGTTTTAGTTTATTATGTCTTTGGGTAAATTGGCTATGTCATAGTTAAAAGGCCCACTCCCTTTAAAACCCTGAAAAATGTGTGACGTAACAGAGCAGTACCGCCCCTGAACTCACCACCAACAGCAGCTCACATTGTGCTTCTTCCATCTCCTTCCAGTCTGTCCAGATGCCTTCCCGCTCTGCTCCTCCTTCTTTTCCTCCTCTCATAATTAGAATGGAGATTATGTTCTCTGGTATCCAGATTATAAAACCCAGTGACATCCATGTGACATTTTGTTAACTGCCAAACAGAGCAGGCATCCAAAACACGCCCACACTTTCTCTGTGTGTGTTTGTGTGTGAAAGATAAATACAGAAAGAAGGATGTGAGAGGACAGATGGACGGGACCAGGCGTCAGTTTTTTAAGTGGTTTTCTTTAGCAGGAAGATGGATATGATGAAACAGTGATCGGTTAGTGTTTCTTTGTGTCTCATCGTTGTTGTGCTCTTCTCCATAGCTCTCCGACAGCTTAATATAAAACACAAATCATCAGTCAAACAATCTGCAAATCCCACAAAAACATTTAAAAGAAAAGAAAAACCTGCTTTGAAGAGGCCTGGGCATTATTAAGCCTGCAGCATGAGATCCTCCTCTTTAACAACCAGACTAAAACACAGAAATGTAATAAAAAGCTAAAATAACTGACATTAAATAGCATAAAAGCTACACAAGCACGCATAAGCAATGCATTTCTGATTTCTACGTGATTCATGCACTCAGTGAGGTTGAGTACGGTGCAGGTCTGCTTTTTACTCAGGCTACACGTGTGGTCCTGTGAAAATGTCACGTTGTGAGGCAAATTGTAACCTTACCAATCCCGGACGAGCCCCCATTGGTCACAAAGTGTATCAAGGACAGAAAGCAAGGTAAGCAGAGACTCCACACATGAAGTCAGCAAACTGAGTGATGCAAGGAAAGAGAGGAAGTCATTATGTCCTACAGGACTGTTGAAGGTAAAGTGCGAGACATGTTAAAGTTTGGATTATTCTTCTGTTACATTCTTTGGTAGCACTCATTGCACACACGTAGTTGTGTAGCATTTCCTGTAGAATTTGTACAGAGAAGTGTTGAGAAAAACTGAAACTGAGCACATCAGGAACCAGGCTTCAGTTAGCTGTCAGGATAACGTGTTTGATGGTCCCTCCCTCTGTGCTGCGCAGCCAGGACGACGACCTACAACGCACAACCTTTTGTTCTATATGGTTACACCATACTCACAAATCACTTCATGTAGCTGTATTTAACTGGGAATATGTGTATGCAGTCAAAACAGCAAATCTAAGAAGGGAGGTAAAAAAAGCTGAGACACAGCAAAGACTGCACAAAGCTAGCCGGCCTTTTCAATACCATCTAAAACATACACACAAAGGTTTGTCAGGGAACATCTGTTTGAACAGTGTTTGGACCTGCATGTGTGTCACAGCCTCGGGTACAAACAGATGTCACAGAAACTGCTTTAGCAAATTTGGGGTATTTCAGAATAATTTCTATTGTAATTTACTGTCCAGCAGCTGATGATTAAATTTAACCTTTTCGATCCTTAACTGTGTGTTAAAGAAGAAAAACACAAGAAGCATGTCTCTTTCTAAGAAAAGGGAACTGGACAGTTTTTGTATCACAGCAAGTTTCAGAAAACAAACTTCAAGTTTCCAGGTTTAAATTCTCAGATGCAAACATGCAGACATGATAAAAAGAAAAGGTGATTTCCAGAAGTTTAACATATTCATTTTAATACTGAAAAGGCCTTTCTTCCTCTCAGCCTGCTCTGTGAATGCTGAAATAATAATGAAGGACAGTCAGCTTACTGATGAAACGAGCGACAGAGCATTTCATATTCCATTATGAGGCAAACATAAATGAGCACCGTCCTCGTGCTCGTTATAGTGTGAAGGTGCTTACACTCACTATTCAGACTAAATAATAATAATAAAGTACATATTGTGCTACATGAGCCAACAGCAGGTCCAGCTGAGCTGCAGGAAGATGCCTCACTGCTTAATTTAAATCAATTACAATTCAGTTTTATTTATATGGCACCAAAAGCACAACAACAGTCACCTGAAGGCGCTTTATTTTGTAAGGTAAAGATTCTACAGCAATACAATATACAATACTAATACTTATATATGTTTTAAATATGTTTTATCTGAGCTAATGTTTAATAAAAGTTTAACTTAATAGTGATGAGACTGGACCTGAGCAGGCTGAGCCTTCGTTATGCATCCCTTTGTGCACACAGTTACAGTAAATCACAAACTGACCGGATTTAAAGGAGCTTAAGCGAGAGAACGACCAAAGTTATGAATATTTCTTCTCAGAGTTTTCGATGTCTGTTTGTTCACAGGCTGACACAGTGCTGTATAGAGCAGTGCTGCTACACGGCTGAACCGCAGTGAAAGTGTGAGCACCATCCAAACTGCTCTTTAGACAAAAACCAGGGTATTTCCAGATTCCCCCTCTTTCATTTTCATCTTCTGATCTCCTTCTGCTCAGAAAATTGAGTTTCCTCTCAAGCAGACAGCGGGCCCATTATCTCCTCCACCTCCTGCAGCTTCAGTTTGTCCCCTCCTCCCCCCGACTTCCATAGCCTTCCTCCATTTTCATGTCCTCTATTGCTTAATTCGCTTAACCTGCAAGTGCGTGTGTGTGTGCGTGTGTGTGTGTGCGTGCGTGTGTGTGTGTGTGTGTGTGCATGCGTCTGAGAGCTGATGGTTAAGAGTCAAAGATCAATACAACAGATGAGGATCATTCCCTCTCATGTCCTTGTCTCATGTCTGGCATTATCTGGGACATGTCATTAAAACTCACACACACACACACAC